GTTGGGTACAAACCCAGTGGGTATTACGATACCCAGTGGGTATTGCGTACCTATTGGGTATTGATTTTTCGTAAACAGAAAGAAAAAGCCTAGAAACCGAGTGCCCTAAGAGCAAGTTATTTGAACTAGGTATTAGAAAAGAAACTGTATATAAGCCCGATATAGATAAGAGGAGAAAGAGAGTAGTCAGATCGAATGAATAAATATAGAAGAATATATACGCTAGATTACAGCTTGTGATATTTTGAAACTTGAGCACCATGGTCGGCAAATATGGTCGGCAGGTAAACTTCATACAAGCTCAAACCAAGCTCGCTATAATCGTCTCGTAGCATCCCGGAGGCACTCTTGCGCAAGCTTGAAGCTTAGGCGTACCGATCGCCTTGGCTCCTCTACCCCATCTCCCTTATCATCGCTGATTGCATCCAAGTCACTGATCCGTTCCATAAGATCTTTTGTCTGCTCTCGGTCTTCACTTAGGATCTCCTGTGAAGTTAGAGTACTAAGAAGCGCTTGAGCAGCCTCTGTAGCCTCGTGGGCGATAAGAACTCTGGTATCGTACTCATCGTCGCGGTAGCGGAAACGGGATACCATTAGTTCAGAGAATGTTGATGCGGAGTATTGGCGATTGAAACGACTTTGGTGTCGAGCGATACTGAAATCGCGCTCACACCCAACTCCGGCCGCAGGAATACAGAGAATATCCCGCGCTATTAGTGCGAGAGTAGGGTACTTAGGCTTAAGCGAAGACTATATCTTCAGTACCTCGAATAGATCCCCTTCATCCATATTGGCGTCCAGATAGTCGGCAAGCTCGTTACCCTCACGAGTGCTACGTCGTTGAGTTTGAGAAGACTCTGCACTCCTACCAAGAGTAAAGTCGATCTGGCCCTTATGCCGACCACTTCTACTACGTGACTCGTAGGTAGAAGTGCTCGATAATGGACGATAGCTCTTCTCCTACTCTGTTCTTAGCTTACCCTCGTAATACTCGCAGTAGCTTTCATCCCCGAAGTCATCGCGTACCTAGAACTTCCGCTTAAGGCAGGGGGTAAGGAGGACACTGATGCCGTAGTAATCGCCAAATCGATCCCAGGTATCTCGATAATATTTCTCAAGCTTAGCCCAAGCAGCCTCGCATGCCTGATATACATCCTTCTTCCAAGGTATCCTCTTATTCTTGAGTCGCTTCATCGCCTCCTCTAGAATGTCGAAAAGCTGGTTGTAGTATGCGAGGACAAGGTGGATAGTCGGACCTTTCGTTGTTCCGATCGTTGCTGTCGCCGCTGCGAATGGTTTCGTAAGGTCGATAAGGTACTCAACCCTTTGCTACTCTTCGGAATCGATACCCATATCTTTACTTAGGTCGAGTCGATCGATATAAGATTCGATAACTCTTTGCAGTCTGCTGAAGCGATCGAGCATTAACGTTGTTGAGGACCACCTTGTCTTCACGTCTTGAACGACCCTTAGGATCCGATCTTGAACGCCATTCCACCGACGGTGCTTTGCAAATGGCTCCTTCTTTTGAAGCATCTCTTTCTGCAGGTCGATAAACTGCTCGAACCTTTAAGAGCTCGAGTTGATAAAGACGCAAAGTTTCCGGATCTAGGGATCGAAATCAGCGAAGGGAATCTCGAGTGCCGACTATAATTGCCGACCACGAGAGCCGACTACACTTTGAAAATAGGAAGGTTAACAGGCGATAGGCCGCAGAGACTGATCTTACCTTCAGAAGGAGGTAAGGCATACTATTAGCTTAAGGGCGGCTGATCTGCTTACTCTGTTTTCTCCTCCTCTGTAATATCTGCCGATCTTTCTCGTGATCCTAGTATTCGGAAAGGTCGTTAGTCGGACAGAGCCCTAGGCGGTCGAAAAAGGCCTTTAAGGGAAGCTGGGCAGTATGTGCAAAGCAGGGAAATCGCTCGGGACGGCTAGCTCGATTATACTCCGCGATTGCCTCCTCCTTATCCTCTCCTATCTCCGAGTCGGGACTGCTCTCCGTACCTTCCTCTAAGCTCGTTGCTAGCCTCCCAGCCGTTATACCGTACCTCTCTTGACAAGTATCAATCGCTGAAACACTATAGAATATTAGAAGGAAGTAGGAAGAGTAAAGCAAGTAGTCTTACATCGCATTGTATAGGGTCTTATTGTTCGAGGCATTGTCGTACGTAATTGCAGTCAATCGGTACTCAATCTCGAACTCTTGTAAGATTTCGAATAGTATCTCCGCAAGGTAATCACCAGTATGACGGCTAGTAATATATAGAAAGCTAAGCATCCCTTCGTGCCAGACCTAGTAGTCGTCAATCCAGTAGACCCGGATAGTGAGGAATGAGGTTTTCATACCTCTGGATTGCCAGCCATTACACGCGATAGCCATCTTGAATCTACCAGTAAGACGGGTCTTAAGGGATTCAGCAGACTCTTGAACCTTGGTACCGAGCATCCTACGGTATGTCGAGGCGGATTTGAACTGAATTGTCTCGACCTGTCCCGGGAGTAGGGCTATATAAGTCTGTTTTACTAACGGTCGTTCAAAGAACTGGAATGGCAGACTATTGTCGATAATCATCTCGAAGGATAAGCGCGGGAAATCGTCCGGTGTATAGCCTAGGTCCCTCGTCCATCGCGGATTGCTCACAGTCTAGAGATAAAGTTTCAGTATAGTCACTTAGACGTGGTCGGCAGACATGGTCGGTAGGCATAGTCGGCAGGCATGGTCGGTAGGTCTGGTCGTCGGTAGTCAGTACTTACTTGTCGATGCTTTGCGGTTGCAAACATCTCCTTCGTAAACCCTCGCTCATCTTGTTTCTCCTAGCAGTTCGAGGAGTCCAGATGCTTCTCGACAGACGTTGTACCGGTATTCAGTGCAGGATGTTTTAGTACAGCGTCACAGCACCTACATACGACTTTAGGTGTCGCATCTTCTTGAAGCATTCCCTCCTCTAGGAAATCCTATACCTAAGATGTCCGAGACTTACTCCTCTAGGTGACTAGGGACCGATCAAACATAGCACGACCGTTCCGCTTTTTGAGCCGCTTCCCAGTATAGTTCCACTAGCGTACCTCGTACCACTTCTCAAAGTTCTCCTTATACTTGAACCTCTATAGCCAGCAGTTGGCCTTAATATCCTACTCCCCGATATAGTCCGGCTCAACGGGGAGTACTAGAGAGGAATCTAGATCTTCTTCCACTATAGTCGGCCGTCTTGTACGACGCTTGCGAACCTCTGTTCTATATCGGCGGTCCCCTAGTATTGGGCTCGGTAGGAGGTTCGTCGCGGAACCATATCGTTGGCGTAAGCGAGCGCTCGATCGTGTAGGGGTAGTAGAAGAGCTTCCTAGCTGCGAGGAGGATTCGAATCGGGAGCTTCCGACTCCTGGAGAGGAAGCAAAGGAAGACGAAAACATAGTATTTCAGACTCCGACGTCGTAAATCCGTTACGAGAGGATAGAGGAGAGGGAACGTAGGAATTGAAAGGAGGGAAAGTAGGAATTTCAGAATCCTAGTACGCTACCCTACAGGGGTTGAGCGAATAGAATTCGCAGGCCTACTTCCGGCTGCGAGCCAACCTATCAGATAGTCTGATTCTTACTACCAACCCTCCTACCCTTTCTTCTATCCCTCTTCGTCTTCTTGAAACAGGCGAGGCTCCTAGTCCTCCGAGTCTGAAATCTCGAACCCTCTAACAAAGTTGCGAATATAGAGTCCTTCGTAAGTACCTTCTCGATTCCCGAAGATGCTAGGCATAGTTCATCTTCTCGCAGTAGTAGGAGTAGAAAGGCCTCT